AGGAGGAGGAAAGGGGGAAGAGGGAGGAAAGAAAGGAGAAAGAAAGAAAACACTTCAAGTACACTAGGAATAGAGGGGGACTTCTCAACTTGATAAAGACTATCTAAAATACTTAATGATGAGAAACTAATCACTAAACTGGCCTAATATTTCATGGTAAAAAACTTGAACCTTTTCTACTAAACTCAGGAAGAAGTCAAAGATGTCTTCTTTTATCACTCCTTTTGAACATTATCTTGAATATCCTAGCTAATTCAGTAAGATAAGGAAAAGAAATGCAAGGTATAGAGATACAAGGGAAGAAATGTCTTTGTTCATAGATGAAATCATTATCCTGTAGAATTCAGAAGAATTGGCAAAACAAAAACAAAACCAAATAAAACAAACTCTTATAACTAATAAGCAATTATGTTAAAGTTGCAAGATAGAAGGTTAATGTATTAAAGTCAATTTCCTATGTATCTGAAATGAATGAGCCCCCCAAAAAGGCAATATTTAGATATACATCTACTAAAAGTATGTAAAAATAAAACCATACAAGAAAAACTACAAAATTCTGATGAAAGATTTCAAGGAAAAATTAAATAAATGGAGAGGTACTTTATGTCAATAGATAGGAAGACCAAATATTGTCAAGGTATTAGTTCTTCCCACCTTGATACATATTTAGCATAATTCCAATCAAAATTCCAGCAAGCTATTTTATGTATCTCTACAATTGATTCTAATGTTAAACGGAAAATCAAAAGACCCAGGATAGTCCACACAATACTGAAGAAAAAGATCAAAGTCACAGAACAGATCCTTCCTTATTTCAATATTTCTATAAGTCTACCATAATAAAAAATGTGTAGTATTGACAAAAGAACAGATAAATAGATTAATGGAATAGAATACAGAGCCCAGAAATAGGCCCACACAAATAAAGTCAAGTGATTTTTTAACAAAGGAGTAAATATAATACAATGGAGCAAAAATAGTCTTTTTAACAAATAGTGCTGGAACACTGGGACATCCACATGTAAAAAAAAAAAAAAAGAATTTAAGCACAGATTTATACCCTTCACAAAAATTATTTATTATACCTAAATGTAAGATTACAAATAAATAAATAAATAAATAAATAAATAAAACTTCTAGAAAATTACACAGGAGAAAATCTTGGTGACCATGGTATGCTGAAAATTTTTACAAATAGTGGATAACAGGACACCTGGGTGTTTCAGTCAGTTCAGCATTAGCCTTTGGCTCAGGTCATGATTCCAGATTCCTGGGATTGAGCCCCGTATCGGGCTCTTTTCTTGGTTAGGAGCCTGCTTCTCCCTCTCCCTCTGCCTACTACTCTGCCTACTTGGGCTCTCTTTGTCTCACTTCTTTTCAAATAAATAAAATCTTAAAAAAATAGAAATAATGGATAAGCTGGACTTCATTAAAGTTAAAAATTTCTGTCCTGCAAAAAATACTCTCAAGAGAATGAGAAGATAAGCCACAGACTGTGGGGGGGGTGGTGGAATATATATATATACATACATACATATACATGCATACATATATATATATTTGCAAGGACATGTGGTAAAAGACTTTTATCCAAAATATACAAAGAACTATCAAAACTTGATGATAAGAAAATGAACAACTTGTTTAAAAATGACCAATGACCTAAACAGATACACTACTGAAGAATATATACTGATAGCAAATAAACACGTGCAAGATACTCCATATCATATGTCATCAAGAAAATGCAAATTAAAAGAAAGAAAGAAACAAACAAACAAACATGAAATTCCCCTACACATCTATTAGGATGGCCAAATTCTGGTACACTTACAACAACGAATGCTAGCAAGGATGTGGAACAGTAGACGCCTCATTGCTGGTGGGAATGCAAAATGTTATAGCCACTTTAGGAGATAATTTGTCAATTTCTTACACAACTAAACATCTTCTTACCATACAATTCAGCAATTGCACTGCTTGACATTTACTTAAATTAACTGAAAACTCATGTACATACAAAACCTGCTTATGGTTGTTTATAGTTGCTTTATTCATAACTGTCAAAACCTTGAAGCAACAAAGATGTTCTTCAGTAGGTGAATGGATAAACAGGTATATTCATAAAATGGAGTATTATTCAATGCTTAAAATAAATGAGATATCAAGGCACGAAAAAACTTGGGGAGGCAGCAACTGGAGGGGACCATGGTCAACAATAAATGCATCTTCATTGCCATCAAGCTCATGGGATGCAGTGCAACTTCGTGGGAGAGATCAAGCCTTTTGAGCAAAAGGGATTCTGCCTCATTGCTATGAAATTAATTCAGGTGTTGGGGCTAGGTTAATGTTAAAACCTGTTTACCTGCCAGGGCCCGCTTGGCCAAAGCAACTCCATATTACCTGGTCAGCCATATTGTTGTTTACATCTGCGGACTTCATTCCAAGAATAAACGTCCCAGCAGTTCTAAATGCCCCAGCAGGGCGCCTGGGTGGCTCAGTGGGTTAAAGCCTCTGCCTTCGGCTCAGGTCATAATCTCAGGGTCCTGGGATCGAGTCCCGCAACGGACTCTCTGCTCAGCGGGGAGCCTGCTTCCTCCTCTCTCTGCCTGCCTCTCTGCCTACTTGTGATCTGTCTCTGTCAAAGAAATAAATAAAATTTTAAAAAAAAATTTAAATGCCCCAGCAGGTCCCAGCAGTTTCAAACATCCCAGCAGTTCCTAGTGTTGGTTCCGGCTGGCTATTCCAAGAATATACACCATAACAAGCCAAGACAGGTGAAAACATCCAATCAGCTGAAGCCACATATGTTGAGGTCTGTGGTTATGCCCTATAAAAACTAGCCTGCAAGATCGAGGGTGGTCACCCTCTTCAGAGACAGCTCTGACCAGTCAGTCCGGTTCCTGATGCCTGGCATGAAAATAAAGCTTCACCTAACTTTCAACTTGCATCAGTCTCGCTCCTTTAATCACAGACCCCATCTCAGGCTTCCGAAGACCTTCTCAAGGAGCACTATATTGACCTGAAGGACCGTCCATTCTTTGCTAGCTTGGTGAAGTCCATGCAATCAGGGCCTGGGGTTTCCATGGTCTGGGAGGGCCTAAAGGTGATGAAGACAGGCCGAGTGATGCTCAGCGGGGCCAAACCTATGGACTTCAGGCCTGGGACCATCCATGGGGACTTTTGCATCCAAGTTGGCAGGAACATTATCCATGGCAACGACTCTGTGGAGAGTGCAGAGAAGGAGATGGGCTTGTAGTTCCACCTGAAGAGCTGGTGGATTACAAGAGCTGTGCTCAGAGCTGGATCTATGAGTGAGGAGAGAGCAGACCTCAGTGCTTTGTTCACTCCATTCCCTCTCCCTCCCCTGAGGACAGGGGCCAGGCTCTTGTAAATCCACTCATTTCTGAGAAATTCCTTATAACTTGAAGGGGAACTCTTGGAGCTGGGAGTGCTCCCAATACAGTATTATGTGTTATCACCAGATTAAAATGTTTCATCCCAAAATAAAATAAAAAAAGAAAAAGTATTGAGGAAAACTTAAATTCACATTATTAAGTGAAGGAAGCCAATCTGAAAAGGCTACATACTACATAACTGCAACTGTACGTCATATTATGAAAGGCAAAAGTATGGCAATAGTAGAAATACCAGCGGTTGTCAGAGCTTAGGGAGAAGGATTGGATGAATCAGTAGAATGCAGAGATTTTTAGGGTAGTGAAACAGTTCTGCATGATACTGTACTGATGATACACATCATTATAAGTGTGTCTGGACCCATAAGATATACAAAATCAAGAGTAAAGCCTCATGTAAACTCTAAACTTTAGCTGAGAATGACCTGTCATGCAGATTCATCAATTTTGTAACAATTGTACCACTCTGGTACAGGATATTAAAAATGGGGTAGACTGTGTGTGTGTCAGGGTAAAGTGTATATGGGAACTCTGGATTCTATCTCAATTTTGGTATAACCTAAAAGTGCAGTTAGAAAATAAAACCTGGTTAGAGAAAAACAAACAAACAAACAAACAAACAGAAATCAAGAAGTAATGTTCTAAAGATTATGTAAAAAAGAAAATTTAAACATAGCTAACTTTATTTTTGAGATGACTACTTTCTAACAGGTTCTGTTTTCAACATTTAATGAACATTGTCTCTATACTTCTAATGGCCAAGAGATTCAAAGAACTCTTCAAAAAGAATGTGGTTGTTAGCATCTTTATTTACTCAGGTACTTTGCACCACATGGTGATTTAGTGTCTCACTTCCTTCCATAACACATGTGGGATCTTGCTAATTTTGCAGGTAAGGGGAGTATGACAAAAAGTCTCATTAACTATTTAAATGTCTTAAGCCAGAAAGTGACATTTTCTCCTGCTGATTATATTTCGTTATCAGGAAAAAGTCACATGGCAACCCTAGAATCAAGGAATACTGAGAAATACAATATTTGGCTTTTCAGTCTATTCTTAGTGACAACTAATAAGTAAGAGGACCTACTTTTTTGTGTGTGTGTGTGTGTGTGGATGGTTATCTGATCTACCTTATAGATTCTGGAAAGCTGTCATTGAACCTATGCTTGCTTTCTTTGGCAATACTGTTCCAATCTACCCAAATTGTGGAAGGGCAGAGACTCTTGTGAGTGTTCCAGAGAATACCTGCTAATATATCCATCTTTCGGGAAGATTTAGAGAGCCAAAATTGGGATGAGTCGTCATTAACTCTGAGCTTATTCATAAAGCCCACACAACTCAGAGGGTTCTTCTTTAAGAAAAAATACATATATACAAATCAGTTTTTAAAACATAACCATGGGGACGCCTGGGTGGCTCAGTGAGTTAAGCCTCTGACTTTGGCTTGGGTCATGATCTCAGGGTCCTGGGATCGAGTCCCGCATCGGGCTCTCTGCTCAGCAGGGAGCCTGCTTCCCCTTCTCTCTCTGCCTGCCTCTCTGACTACTTGTGATCTCTTTCTCTCTGTCAAATAAATAAATAAAATCTTAAAAACAAACAAACAAACAAACAAACATAACCATGTACCTAAACATATACCTAAATAGAGAATTACAATGCAATTTCAATTTTAAAAAATCCAACAATCACAAACATAATTTTAAATAAGTCAGTTGGAGAAAGACAAATATCCATGATTTCACTCATATGTGGAATTTAAGAAATAAAACAAATGAACAAAAGGGAGAAAAGAAGTCAGATGGGGAAAATCAAGAAACAGACTCTTTAAAAAAATATTTATTTATTTGACAGAGAAATCACAAAGTAGGCAGAGAGGCAGAGAGAGCAGGGGAAACAGGCTCCATGCTGAGCAGAGAGCCCAATGTGGGGCTCACTTCCAGGACCTTGAGATCATGACCTGAGCCAAAGGCAGAGGCTTAACCCACTGAGCCACCCAGGCACCCCAAGAAAAAGACTCTTAACCATAGAGAACAAACTTATGGTTACCAGAGGGTAGTAGGTAGGTGGGACGATGGGTTAAATAGGTGATGGTGATTAAGGAAGACACTTGTGATGAGCACTGGTTGTTACATAAAGTATTGAATCATAATATTGTACACCTGAAACTAATATTACATTGTATGTTAACTGACTGGAATTTAAATAAAAACTTAAAGAAAGAAAAGGAACATTTAACATTTTACAGTGCTTAGAAATATCAAATCATTATAAAAATATAAATAAATCAATTAATTAGTAGTACAACATATCTCTGTAAGTCTTTATTCCTATACTTGTTTTTATTCTTATGATATATAAGATGGAATTGAACCAAGGAATAGTCCAAATATAGATATATTTGGAAATACAATCATCATTGTTGATGGATTAATTGGAGTTGAGAATTACTCAGAGGGAGGATTCAAGGACAATGGACAACACAGTGAATTGTCCTGCTATTTACGGAAATGGAACACCATGGAGAAAGACCACAGTTGGTAGTGCTAGTGGTATTAGAATTAAATCAAACTTTTAGTTTGGGAAATTTTAATGTTGAATTCCTTTAAAGATTTCCAGTAAGCACCTAAATTTAAGAATTGAGGGCTTTGCAAAGAGGCCAGGGCTGAAGGGAAAATGTCACAACTTATTTAAATATACTTAGTGTTCCCATCAACCATTTCTACAAAAATGTGAGTAGATCCAATGTTTGTTTTCAATTTTGAATGACAGCATTTGGCATGTGTCACAGTAACTTGTTCTTGCCAAATCAGTTTAGAATACAATGATGACAATATTGTAATCTTCTCCTTTCAGAATCTCTGTCATTTATTACACATTCAGCACCTAAAACCTACTGATGCTATAGGATATAATAGAAATAATTGAAAAATTATCTCCCATTCTTTGACTTCATTTCCATCATATGAAAAAATAAATATACTGGAGCATCTTGAGCATCTACACTGAAAACAGATAACAGTTATCCTTTCTAACACTTCATGGAGGATTTAACAATGTCTAGAAGATTTTCTAAGTTATATATTATAAAGGTTGATAAATTATGGAGCAATACTCTCCATTATTCAAGTCTTTATTATCTATTAAAAATATGAATCATAGCTATTTTGTTCCTTTATCAATTCTTCCTTATTAAAGTATTCATTTTCATCACAATGATTATAAACTATAATTAAAATATTCTCTCTGAGTTAAATTCTGCTGTGCTCTAAAATATCAGATCATATATTACTTAGAACATAAATCACTGGTCATGGAGTCATAATGCATTTTTTTCTACACTCAGTAGATAGGGTAAATCATTGACATTTCATTAATCAAGTAATTAAACCTCCTTCTTCCTCTATTCCTTAGAAAAACATAACCTGTCCAAATTTGAAATTTCTTAAGATAGTAAATTTGGAGATATTCACTTTCCTTCTGCAAATCATTCCAAGATATTAAGCCTAATGAAAGCAAGACATGCACGCCGTCAACCCTCATTAACATCCTTTTCAAAGTCATTTAAAAATCCCTCTATTTTAATTGTTATGTAGGGTGAAAACCCCCAGGGCTAAGGTATTTACTTTGACTCATCTTGATGACCTTGTGATATGACAACTTGGCCAAGTTAAACTACCTTTTCAAGAGTTCCCATTCTTTTATGTCTCTGTTTTGGGTGGGTCATGAGAATATTTATTCTGAAAGATTTGAAAGGTGGCAGTGAAACTGCAACCGTTTAATGGCTCATACCCGTTGTCCCTGACTTAAGGACTCATGTGGTGGTATCACACCGTAGCTGTGCCTCTACTCCTTTTCCTTCCATGAGACCCTCTTTTATTTTCTCTATTGGGCCAGGTTTGTGTGTGATTAGTTCCAGAACTAAGATCCTAGCTTCTGAAGGATACCTACATCACAAAGTCCAGAAGCAACAAACAGATGGATTTCACTCTCTCCTGTGGCTTACGTTTGTATTTATGGTTCCCAGCTTGTTCTTGCCTCTCCAACCTTGCTGCACACATTCTCTATTCAGGTTTGGCATCAAATATGAAAAACAGCCTCATGGCTACTTAACAATCCCTGTATAAGGTCAAATTCCTGTAACAAATAACTTTATCACCTATAGAAGAGAACATAATTAACAGCTCTAATTTTAATAAAAAACTAGACATCATTCCTGAAATTTAACACCTTTTGTAATTAGTGAGATGATAGAAAATATTTCAATTAATCTGAAAAATTAATTAAATAAGATTCACAAGGGCATCTCTTTTTAAATTAAATGATAATCGATAAATCTTGATCTAAAGAGAAACTCCAGCACCAATTTACACATACAGGAAGGAGGACAGCTTATTACTCCATTCTTCTTGTATGATTGAGGGAAGAGGGAATGGAGTCAAACAATGAGGGAGTGAGGACAAAATAATAATGGAGCAGAGATTCAGAGCACATTAAGAAAGGGTGATTTCACATAAACAATCCTTTACCACAGAAGAGAATGAGAAAATAGAGTGAAGGAAAATGTAATCATACTTGGAATTCAAAGTCTAACTCATTTTAGTAAAATCCATGAAATGCATAGAGATGTCAATCATAGAGATGAAATCAGTTTTACATGTCTCATCCCTGAGGTGGTGGGGAAAAAGTAATTTTATTACTTGAAAATTGTATGTTAATGTAAAAAGATTTCAACATGGTTTTTACATGCAAAACATTACACATCATTAAAACAAAACTGAATTTTTTTTAAACCACAAGGTGGAAAAATACATTAAAAATGCAAATATAAGGCAATAATTTAGAATTTAGAAAATAAATTATAGTGAGAGATTAATATAAATTTAGATAATTATAATAAAGCAAAACATATATGTTGAAAATTAAACCAGATTATATTTTTCTAAAAGAAAATTAAAAGAATTCAATTGCAATTGACAAACAAAAAAGCCCACCCAGGTACATACTATAAAGAAAATTTACTTCTAAAATTCAGTGTCTATTAAGGTCAAATGTAATAGCATTTGTAAAAATATATGACAAATG